ATGGAATAACCTGGTCATTCAGTATATTCAGGTAGTCAGTTGACCTCATTCTTTGAGCACATACTGTTGCTGAACCTAGACCTGACCAACTGCAGCAACCCCAGATCATAACCCCACCCCCACAGGCTTGTACAGTCGGCACTAGGCATGGTGGGTGCATCACTTCCCCTGCCTCTCTTCTTACCCTGATTGGTCCATCACTCTGGATCAGGGTAAATCTGGACTCATCAGCCCACATGACCTTCTTCTATTGCTCCACAGTCCAATCTTTATGCTCCCTAGCAAGTTGAAGCCTTTTTTTCCCGGTTAGCCTCACTGATTAGTGGTTTTCTTACAGCTACACAGCTGTTCAGTCCCAATCCCTTGAGTTATAAAAAATAAATTTTAGAATTTATTTTCATTAGGTTTTTTTTTTGTCTTAATCAAGGTCATTGGGCTGGTTGGGCGGCGCCCTAGAACCCTTTATTGGCCAGCCACCACTGGTGGTTATGCCATTGCTTTGCGAGATCTCTCCTCGTACAGCATCAGCATCATTAGTGACAGTGGAAACAAATAATAGAGATGGTGCAGGCCCCCTGTGGGGAGGCGGAGTCACGTGACCAATGGGTAGCGAAAAAGCAGTGATCATCTGTCCGAACGGTCAGTTAACTGAGTCCACTGTATAGTCAGGGCTCTATATAGTGATTGAGGTGTTTAGACTTAGACTTGGACCACTTTTTTGTCATTATCTATACTCAGGGTATACGAAGTGAAATTTTGTTTTGTACAGCTTTCAGTAAATGAGCAGTAGCTTAGCAGTGAAATGAACATTTCCATCCCATAAAGTGCAGCAATGATCAGATGTAAACAATGTGGGAGAAAAGAAAACAGTGTAGAAAAACTCATTGATATGGAAGTTTAGAGCATTTGGTTTGGTGTTATCAGTTTGATGCAGGGTCTGTCACATTAGAGTTTTTTCAACAGTTCAGCTGTCTGATGGCGATGGGGAAGAACCTGCTGGTCCTGCATTGAATGCTGTGAAGCCTCTTTCCAGAGGGCAGCAGGGAGAACAGTCCCCCATGAGCCTCTCTGCTGTTCTCACCTTCTACCAGTCTGAGGCGCTGCAGCCTCCACACCACACAGTGAGACAGCTGGTCAGAACGCTCTCTATGGTGCTTCTGGAGAAGGTGGGGAGGGGCCGGTGGGCTCTCCTCATCCTCTTTAGGAAATCCAAGCATTTATGTGACCTTTGGACCAGTAAGTTGGTGTTTCCAGTCCAGGTGAGGGTGTCTGTGATGAATTTGGTGCTGCTGACCACCTCTACAGCTGAGCTGTTGATGAGCAGTGGAGCGTGGTTAGGCCGGTTCTTCCTGAAGTCCACCATGATCTCCTTGGTCTTCTCCACCTTCAGGATCAGGCTGTTATCTCTGCACCACCAGCTGCTCCACCTCCTCTCTGTAGTCCTGGTCATTGTCATCTCTGATGAGGCCCACAGTCGTGGTGTCATCTGAAAACTTCACGATGTGATGGTGGTGAACCTGGGGACGCAGTCACGTGTCATCGGAGTGAACAGCAGGGGTCTTTAACCAGCCTTTGGAAGCCATTCATCATGATAGGAGTCAGTGCAACAGGCTGGTAATCATTGAGTGAGGTGACCTAAGGCTTCTTTATGACCTGAATGATGGTAGAAGACTTAAAGCATGCCGGCACTATGGATTGGTCCAGCGAGGTGTTAAAAATGTCATGTGATCCCAGTTTTTTGTGTTCGTCTGTTTGTCTTGTCTTTTGTGTTTCTCCCTTCCACCACCAGGAGGCACCTGGCTCCGGCTCGCCTCCTCACACACCTGCAAGCTGTTGCCTCATCACCAGACTGCTCTTAAGCTGCTGGTTGCCACTACTTCGACGCCAGAGTGTTTGCCAGTTTTGGGTACTCTACCCAAGCCTTGTTTATGCTGAGTCTAATCTGAGTTTTTGCATTTTGAGTTTTTGTCCTCTAGCCAAGCTGAGATCACATTGAATTTTACTGAGCGCTTGTTTCTCCCTGAGTCTCAACTTTGTTTGTTCTTTGCCTTTCGGCAGGAAGACTTCCTGCAAACTGGACCTTTTCGGACCGCCTTCTCCCAAGTGGGATCAACTGAGTCTTACACTGAGCAACGGATTCCAAACAGGAGGTTTGGATCCAGCCACCTTTAAGCACGCTGAGATCACTCTCTGAGTAAGGAAGTCATCTTCACCACGACCCGTTTAAGTACCACAGGAAAACTGAGTTGCAACCAGCGGCTGCATCATTCCACTCCGTCCAAGTTCTGGGTAAACCCTGTTCCGCCCTCCACCGAATCAAACAAACTCTGGAAGACCAACATACAGACTGGAGTCTACGTGTCTCTTCTTCTCTGGAAACGTGAGTGGCAACAAATCCTCTCCTTCAAGATAAACAACTCCAATTACCCACTGAGCCGGAATCTAACAGTCTGTCTTCCCCTCGTCTTCCAGTTCCCGGCTGAGCAGAGTTCTGAGGAACTCTACATCGAACTCAAAATACTCTTCAATAAAACCCGTTCAAACGTTTACTCTGTGTCTCTCTCTGTTTGGCTTCACTGCATGTGGGTCCAAGCTTTAGACATAATCATGACAGAACACTCTGGCCAAACCGCTGACCCTGCAGAAGCCATTCAGAGAGCCATTTATCAGCAACAAACCACCCTGTCCTGACATGATAACACCCTGGTCGAGCTAGTAAATCACCAGACTGAGTTAAACCGCCGAGTAACTGAGCTAACTGAGGCTGTACGTTTTTCCCTCCAGGCTTCGGGCTCTGCCGGAGAGCTAGCCCCGCAGCAAGCTAACCAGGTTGGTTGACCTCCTCCTAATACAGAGTGTCAACTGGCAAACCCCCCTAGGTTCGATGGGGATCCCAAGAAATTTCGTGGATTTTTAATGCAATGTATCATCCAATTTAATCACGCTCCAAGTAAGTTCCTCCAGGACTCATTTAAGATATCATATATAATATCTCATCTCACAGACCGAGCCTTGGATTGGGCTGAGGTAAGATTTTCCTCCTCATCCAATTACGAATGCACTTATGATCAGTTTCTCAAAGAGTTTAAGCAACTTTCAACCACGAGACTGACAAAACATAAATCTCTCGTAAAGTTTTGAAGCTTAAACAAGGACAGAAAACAGTTTCTGAGTTCACCATAGATTTTATGGCAGCCGCTTCAGGCTGAAATGAAGCAGCCCTTAAAGGGGTTTTTTCTCAAGCACTTTGTGAATCTATCAAGGATGAATTAGCTTCCTAAGACGAGCCTAATACTCTCGAGGATTTAAATAACCTCTTTATTCGTTTGGATAGTCGAATTCGAGCCCGTGCTAAGGAGAGGAGTAGCAAGATGGCTTCTACCAAGTCTCCAGTAAACAATTTTCCTGTCAGACTGCTTGCTAGTCCTTCTGCACCTGAACCGATGCAGATAGGCAGCCTTCGTTTCAGCCCTGAGCAGAGGCAACACAGAATGCTATCCAAAATCTGCTTATATTGTGGTGAGGCGGGCCATTTTTTAGCCTCTTGCGCTCTGTTGGGAAAAGCCAGGGTCCACCAGTAGAGAGAGGGCTACTGGCGGACCAGAAGATTTCTCCCTCCTCACCTCTTCTTCTCCTTCCTGCATCGTTACAGCTAAATAATAGATTTGTCTCTTTATCGGTTCTGATTTATTCTGGCTTTGAACGGAACCTAAATGTCTCGACTTTCGCTCCGCAGATGGGAATAGAGCTTATTCCTCTACAGTGTCCTCTTCTGTCCTTCGTTTTTGCCTTGGACGGCAGAGATCTGCCCCAAATAACCCATCAGACAACACCTTTGCAGCTAAAAGTTTCTGGTAACCACATTGAGAACAACCTTTTTGTGTTCCCTACAGCTAACTCAGCCTTAACCTTGGGATTTGAATGGCTCCAGGCTCACAATCTCTCTATTAACTGGTCCAATAGACATGTGGATTCATGGTCTGTTGATTGTCACTCGCACTGTCTCAAATCTGCTGTTCCCCCAGGTTTCCAGGTTCAGGAACCCCTTGAGTCAGACACCAGTGATCTTTCTTCCGTACTTGCTGACTACCACAACCTCTCCCAGGTATTCAGTAAATCCAAAGCCTGTCCTCTGCCTCCCCACTGTGCCATTGACCTGCTTCCTGGAGCTCCTCTGCCCAGCAGTCGCCTTTTCAACATCTCCAAGCCTGAGAGGGAGGCCATGGAGAAGTACATAAAAGATTCCCTTGCTACTGGCATAATCCGTCCCTCATCTTCTCCCCTCGGAGCGGGTTTCTTCTTCATGGGAAAGAAGGACGGATCCCTGCGACCCTGTATAGATTACAGATGTTTGAACCAAAAAACTGTAAAAAACAAATATCCTTTGTATTAAGGAGAATTAAACTGGATGCTAATCCGTATGGAATATGCTGATGAAGGTTCTCAGTCATCCAGGTCATAGTCATTCCGTAAAAAAAACAACCAGCGGCTGCATCATTCCACTCCGTCCGAGTTCTGGGTAAACCCTGTTCCGCCCTCCACAGACTGGAGTCTACGTGTCTCTTCTTCTCTGGAAACCTGAGTGGCAACAAATCCTCTCCTTCAAGATTAACAACTCCAATTTCCCACTGAGCCTGAATCTAACAGTCTGTCTTCCCCTTGTGTTCCAGTTCGGAGGAACTCTGCACTGAACTCAAAATACTCTTCAATAAAACCCGTTCAAACTTTAACTCTGTTTCTCACTGTTTGGCTTAACTGCATGTGGGTCCGAGCTTTAGATAAAATCATGACATCGGCACAGCGCAAATGAAACACAGGATGTCCATAGAAAAATAAAACAGAAACTCAGCCGTCTGCTGGACACAGGCAACACTGCCTTAAAGATACACACTCAAAAATAATGTAAACAGAAATTAATATTTCAGTGGTAACAATATCATATGTACATGTAGAAAAACTACTTTCCTATCCATTCTGGTCAGCGGAGCAGTGGTTTCTGATGTTGTGTTACATGATCCAGTCTGAAGTATTTTTCATATATGATTAAGTTTCAACAGTTGGAGGACAACATTGCCACTTTTGTGAAGAACGAGTTGAAAAAGATCCAGAGGCTTTTGAGTCCAGGTGATCCAGAATGTTTGGAGAGCCAAAGGGATGAAGAGGAGGTATTGGAAGATGAGGATGAAGAGAAGAGAAGCAGCAGAGAGGCACTTATGAAGATCATAGTGAACTTCCTGAAAATTATGAAGCAGGAGAAGCTGGTTGAATGTCTTTTGAGCAGTAAGTGGATTATTACAAATATGTACCCTGATGGATAAATCACAGATTTACTGATGTCTGAAAAATGTAATCACATTTTTTTCAAATAGTCTTGGGATGATCATGTTCTCTCCTCTCTGATTAAAGTTTTTTGTTAATTTAGAATCTCCCAAATTTTGTCAAGACAAGCTTAAATCTGGTCTGAAGAAGAAGTTCCAGTCTGTGTTTGAAGGTATCGCTAAAGCAGGAAGTTCAACCCCTCTGAACCAGATCTACACAGAGCTCCACATCATAGAGGGAGGAACTGGAGAGGTCAATGATGAATATGAGGTCAGACAGATTGAAGCAGCATCCAGGAAACCAAACAGACCAGAAACAATAATCAGACCAGAAGACATTTTTAAAGTACCACCTGGAAGAGATCAACCAATCAGAGCAGTGATGACACAGGGAGTGGCTGGCATTGGGAAAACAGTCTTAACCCAGAAGTTCACTCTGGACTGGGCTGAAGGCAAAGCCCACCAGAACATCCAGTTCATATTTCCATTCACCTTCAGAGAGCTGAATGTGCTGAAAGAGAAAAAGTTCAGCTTGGTGGAACTTGTTCATCACTTCTTCACTGAAACCAAAGGAATCAGCAACTTTGAAGACTTCCAGGTTCTGATCATCTTGGATGGTCTGGATGAGAGTCGACTTCCTCTGGACTTCACCAACAAGGAGATCCTGACTGATGTTACAGAGTCCACCTCAGTGGATGTTCTGCTGATAAACCTCATCAGGGGGAAACTGCTTCCCTCTGCTCTCCTCTGGATAACCACACGCCCTGCAGCAGCCAATCAGATCCCTCCTCAGTGTGTTGGCATGGTGACAGAGGTCAGAGGGATTAGATCAGTAGCGACTGGCGTGGTTTGGTATTACATAATTTAGTGGGTTAACCCGGCTCTGGTTTTCCCACAACATGCCGATCAGAGCCGAGGAGATTTTAACGCGGGTTGCTTTCTGAGTCGTTTGACCTGGATAGACACACGTCAGTGAGCTGTCACTCACTGCCACTGCCACTAAAAGCCCATTGTTCCGAGGGTTAAACAGATTTTTGGGGCAGTGGGAAAATATTGTTGCTGACTGGCAAGAAATAAACAACATTAGTGATCAATCATTTAATAACAGATTTTCCTCCCTGTTTCCTCAGGCTAAGTTACTGTAACCTCTCAAATAGAAGCTGTGAAGCTCTGTCCTCAGTTCTCAGCTCCCAGTCCTCCAGTCTCAGAGAACTGGATCTGAGTAACAACAACCTGCAGGATTCAGGAGCAGAGCTTCTATGTGCTGGACTGGAGAGTACAAACTGTAAACTAGAAACTCTCAGGTAAATGATCTCACATCCTGTTGGAAGAAGACTTCTTTCCATTAACTGTTAATTGAAAAGATGGATATTTTATTTCAAAAACTTTTTTCTCAACTTTGTTTTCTGACCATTATCTCACATGAATCCAGACAACAGCTTAATCCTTCATCTTAGCTAAATTTTATTCATGCATTGATGGATTTGTAATGACAGATTTTCCTCCCTGTTTCCTGAGGCTGAGTTACTGTAACCTCTCAGAGGAAAGCTGTGCAGCTTTGTCCTCAGTTCTCAGCTCCCAGTCCTCCAGTCTCAGAGAACTGGACCTGAGTAACAACAACCTGCAGGATTCAGGAATAAAGCTTCTATCTGCTGGACTGAAGAGTCCAAACAGCAAACTAGAAACTCTCAGGTAAATGGCTGAATATGGCCTTGCATTTATCAAGAACTAAATAACTTACTCCACCGGTACAAAGTGATCTGCCACCAGATTTAAAAACATTGAAAGTCATTTAGCTGCCATGCAGTGCTTTCAGTTATTTTCAGGAGTGTTAAACCTGAAAGTTACAAGTTTAGCACAGCTAGTGGCTAAAAGTTACACAGTGTTGCTTTAACCTTTTAAGCTCCAGTTTATTGTTTTTTTTAATTCTGAAAATATTTGTTACAGCACTTGGGTTCTACCGGAACATTGTCATGTTGTCATCATGTCTTGAATTGTGTGTCTGCAGGTTGTCAGGCTGTCTGATCTCAGAGGAAGGCTGTGCTTCTCCGGCCTCAGCTCTGAGCTCCAACCCCTCCCATTTGAAAGAGTTGGACCTGAGCTACAATAATCCAGGAGAGTCAGGAAGGAAGCTACTGTTGGCTGGACTGAAGGATCCAGAATGGAGACTGGAAGATTTCAGGTATGGAGGAACCTGCTGCAGGTGCAGGAAAAGTCTAATAGAGGAGGAAGAGGTATTGCCATGATAATGAGGAGTATGACCTAATGCTATTAATTTAAAATGGGATAGCAAACAAACCAACCCAGCAGTCCATTTATGACATAGTTTTGAGAACAGCAGGGGGACAAATATAGCTCCATGTGGAAACAAATGTTTAACAGAGCAGACAGAAAAGACAAATACAAATACAAATTAAATTGAACTAGTTTCTGTTTTGAACTGCTGTTAATGAAGAATTGAAGCCAGGCATACACTGTGTGTTATTTTCAATCATGCAGCTACAGCTCAAACTGTATGATGAAACCAAAGAGTTTAAAGGTTCACAGCTCACGATGTATGTTCTCACACCGTGTGACTCGGTGCTCTGATGCGATCTACCTGCTCAAACTGCACGTCCAAGCTCCACACTCAGCGCCGAGAGATGGAGCTGGCCGAACTCGTCAATCTAGAGGAAGTATTAGAAGAAGAACTTCCTTATTTGCAAATGCACAGTGCTCGATGTTCTGGTAAATCGGCTCGTACCTCTGCTTCAACAGCAGGATTTATCCACAAACACCTCACACGGCCGACTGAATTTTAAACATGTTAAATTATCTCCCAACAATTCCTAATCAGGGGTGGTCGTTAGATGCTAATCAACCCTCGTTACCTCCTGTACACTATAAGACGCACAATCAGGCTGAAACTTGGCCATATCGAAAAAATTCTTGCAGGACTGGAGAATTGGCCCGAAAAGGACAAAAAAAAATGTACAGGTCGACCAGGATCTCGCTTGAACTAAAAAGAATAAGAAAAAATATTGCTATCCTAGGATTTTACCTTTTTCCCACACAGATAACTCTTTCATGAACACCAGTGGTGAGATACGCACCTTTTAACATGTGAAAACTAAGTACGAAAAACCTCATCCGAAATGATTTTGTGTCAGAGACGCCCATGCCATCGTGTTAAAAAGAGATTGATGGTCTAACTCCCCTCCTTTCAGGTTGGAGCCTGCTGGAGAACGATGGTTAACACCAGGTCTGAGGAAGTGTAAGTTAGTTTTTCATTGGATTCATGACAACAAAGCAGCTCACATTCAACCATCTTCAAACTGTCCATCAATCATTCAGGAGTCTTCATCAAAGTTCAATAAATGATCAATAACTGCAGCTGGATTGTGTTTGCTCTCTCCATCAGATTCCTGTCAGATCACCATCGACACAAAGACAGTGAACAAATACCTGAAACTGTCTGAGGACAACAGGAAGGTCACATGTTTGGGAGAGCTTCAGTCCTATTCTGACCATCCAGAGAGATTTGATCTTCCTCAGCTTCTGTGAGGACAACTGCTCTGACTGATCGCTGTTACTGGGAGGTTGAGTGGAAAGGAAATATTTGTATATCAGTGAGTTACCAGAGAATCAGGAGAAGAGGAGACATGAGAGACGTTTTTTTTGGATTGAATAATCAGTCATGGTGTCTGAGATGCTCTGAGGGTGGTGGCTGTTCTGTGTGGCACAATAACAGAGAAGCATCTATCCCTTCGCCTTCTGTCTCTAACAGAGTAGCAGTCTATGTAGACTATCCTGCTGGTGTTTTGTCCTTTTACAGTGTCTCCTCTGACTCATTGATCCACCTCCACACCTTCAGCACCAGATTTACTGATCCTCTGCATCCTGGGTTTGGTTTTTCGGTGTTAAGTCCTGGTTCCTCAGTATCTTTGTGCTGAGGTGAGTCTAAAGAGTCTAAGATCTACATGTTGTTTTTTTGTTAGTTTCTTATCAAAGCTTTAGATTGATAATCAGGATGTTCTGTTTCTCAGTTTTTTTATTTCATTCATTATTAAAAGTTCATTGAAATGTGCAGTTTTCTCAATCAACAGAAATTATGTGGTTCTGCCGGCTTCTAATTTTTGACAAATTTTATACTTTCATATGTTAAAACTTATTTTAATATATTTGCTGCAGTTCTACTTCATGTGATTTTTTTTCCTCTGGATTTGATTCATATTATCCTGATTTAATTCTGTTCCTGTTTTCAAATAAAATTAAATTCTGATACTTGTTTGAATAAAACAGATTATTTTAAAAATCCCAACGTTGATGTAATGTACAGAGAATCATTCTATTTTCTTTCTGAAGAGTTTTGAAATGAAAGATTTTGTTTAGTTAAATAAATGGCAAAAACAAATAAATGATAAAATGATATCTGTTCCATATTTCTAAACATTGAAAAAACATTGATAATGAAGGAAGAGCCTTAGGATGGTGTTTAGACTAAAATGAACTTTTTTATCTCCAAACTGCTACCTTGGATGCAACACCAAACCGGGGAGCTGTCCAAACACCAGCAAAAATAGAACAAACAACCACACTAGAACATTTCCAAATCAAAGTCCCATTTAAGAAAAAGTGAGCACTCAGAATAGGTTCTAGTTTAAATCATTGTATTCCCTAAATTTTTGGACTCAAAAGGTGAAGAACCATTTTACCATGTCGATTTTATACCGCAAGTTACTTAATGAACCAACCCTGGTTGATGGCAGGATTTGTTGACCTTATCCTGAGTGTGTGAGTATCATCAAAAATTATGTGGCCTTCAACTTCAGGGGCCTTTAGCAAATTAGTATTCGCTCTTAATCAGAGACTTCTGCCTTCTGTTTGTGGTTAGGGCATAGGGCTTTGAATCCTGAGATTGGGAGTTCGACCCCCTACTCCCCCAGACTGCCACTCTTGGTCCCTGAGCAAAACCCTTAACCCCACACTGCTCCCCGGGCGCTGCACAATGGCAGCCCACTGCTCCTCAAGGGGAGGGGTTAAATGCAGAGATAAATTTCTCCAATGTGAGATAAATAAAGTTCAATTATTATTATTATTATCAGGTTAGCTAAAATACCTCCATTGACCATACAGGACATAGAAAAGACCGGTATGGAATGAAATTTATTGGATATCATAAACTTTAAAAAAAAATAAAAACCTGAAGACTGCAGTGCGCAAAATTACTCTGCCTGGTGGAGTTAATATGTTGTAGCTGTTTTGCTGGCTGTGATTATAGCTGCAACTCCCTTGAGGTATATCCCTATCAGATCTGCACATCAAGAGACTGACATTTTTACCCATGCTACCTGCAAAACAGCTTGAGCTTAGTGAGTTTAGATTGAGAGCATTTGTGAACAATAAATTACAAATGCTCTTCATTGAAACATAAAATCAAGCAAAATCTTGATTTTATGTTCCTAACAGAAACATTGTTAGGTGAAAATGAGATATCGATTTTACTGGAGACCACACCTCCTAATTACATTTTCTTCATCATGACAGGCTGTTTAAAAAAGGCAGAGGGGTGATTACTTTGTTTAATGATCCACTAAAGTGCAAAACAGTGCTCCTTGGTAAATCTTTTGTATATCTGGCCATCAATGTAATTCAACCCAAAAGTACTTTTTTATCTCAAAAGCTAAATTAAATGTTGCAGTAACACATAAGTTTTTTTTTAATCGAGATTAATTATTAATAGCTGTAGGCAGAACGGATACTGTATCTGTCTTGTCTTGCACCTGATGTGGAGAAGCCTTTAACTGAAGACATTTTGTTGTTGTTTAAAAATGTTCTGAAGAGGGAGCTCACTGTTGTTTGTAATTTTCTTCACCTTATTAAGATCTT